CCGCCCAAAATGGGTTGGGCCAGCCCGCCCCGTTTTGACAAAATGGGTTGAACTTTACAACCCGTCCCGTTTTATGAGTGGGCTGGCGGGCTGCGGGCCAACCCGCCTAAAATAAAAAAATTCATAAAATAAAATAAAAAACATAAAATTCTACATAAAAACACTTAAAAAAATCTGCATAAAAACACACAAAAAATTTGCATAAAAACACAAAAAAATCTGCATAAATACATATAATTGACGTTAACTTATATGGGTAGGTGACGTTATTGGATGGAAATTGATTATAAAATATAGCAAGGCAAATGAATAACATGTATTAGCTTAATATAGGTGACGTTAGCAAGGCAAATGTATTAGCTTTGTTAACATGTAAAAATATAATTATAAAATTTTTGTTACACAGCCCTACTTTGCCCAATGTATAGGTCCATGTAATTCTAATTTTACATTTCAACTTTCAGTAATTCTAATTTTTTTACTATTAAAAAAAATTAAAAATTAAAAAAATTAAAAATAGTAACCCAACGGGCCAACCCGGCCCGTTTTCCTATCAACCCGTTTTAACTCATTTGTAAACGGGGCGGGTTACATTGGGTTAGTGGGTTGGGACTCATAACCCAGCCCGCCAACTTGAGTGGGTTAAACGGGCTTGGCCCATATTGCCAGCCCTATCCATGCCCTTTAATCACACTCCAACAGTATCTGGTTACAATCTTCATCATCATGGTGTTCTTGATGATGGGCCGAATAACAATGGAGGAGAGAAAATCAAAGTTCTTGAACCCGAGATCATCAATCCCATGAAAAGCACCATCAACAGTCCAAGAACAACATGCCAACAACCCAAATCCAATGATTCGATGTAAGAAGTTCAACACAGAAGCCAAAGACCCAAGCGAAAACGGAGAAGACCCAATTATTGGGATGATTACATACATTGAAGTATGACTATGTTATGAGAATGTTGGGGTTCTGTTGTATTAATCTTAGTCGTTAATTTTATTCATATCCAACGACTTTAATTTATTAAATATATTTAGGGATTAATTTTTTTATTTTACAACCGTTAGATATAATTTTTTTTTCTGTTATTTTTGTTTGATCAAACATCTAATCTGACAATAACATCAATTATGGTAAAACCTAGTTTCCAGCTAAGAGACTTGATTATATAATACCGTCTTTTCTTTTCTTCTTATTTTTCTTTTGTTGTGATCTTCTGTTTATGAACTTTTGATTTCCGTGAGCTTTCGAGCATCAATCAAAGGATTGTTCTAACTTAACGACTCCACTAATTGTTTGAAACTAAAAAATACATTATGTTTCTGAAGCTAAAATTATGGTACGAAGATATATTGATCTGATGATTATCTTTGAAATATATGAAAGTTTATTTAACGTTATTATACAGTTAGATGACACCTTTTTGTTTCTTTCGCTGGTTCAAATAGGCCTTCATTCAGTTGAATAAATAAATTTAGTTTGGTGAGATACACTAAGAATTCAGATTACGATAAAAAAAAATTATTTCCTTATTATAAAAAAATTTCGCTTGTTATATGACATCTCATTTGCCAAATAAATTTTTGTGATTTAATATAAAAAAATAAATAAAATTTTGATTTGTGATTTAAATTTTTTTTATTATAACAAAATTTTGGTTTGTGATTTAAATTCAAAATAAAAATAAAAATTATTATTAATAAGGAAAACAAAATAAAGATTTGATTTGTGATTTAAACTAAAAAATCAATTTGAAAAATCTGTAGAAATAAAGAAAATAATTAAATAAATATTCTAAATTTCTAAGGAAGAATGATATTATTTTTAAAATTAATGATTAATGTTATAAGCTTCTGGGTTATTATTCGTGGTCTGAAATTAATGATGGCTTATGAATATTTTTCAAAAATAAAATTACCTAAATTAGGCGTGATTGCCTCTTGATTGAAACCCAATTTAGACGTGATTGGTGATGTGTTAAGTTTTGACACGTGTCACATTTTTAAACTCAGAAGCCTCTGAGTTCTGCGTTTGTGATTTAATACAAAAAATAAATCAAGATTTGATGTGTGATTTAAATTAAAAAAATAAATTTGTTTTTTTTTATTATAACAAAAATTTGGTTTGTGATTTAAATTAAAAGTAACAATTATTATTAATAAGGAAAACAAAATAAAGATTTGATTTGTGATTTAAACTCAAAAATCAATTTGAAAAATATGTATTAATAAAGGAAATAATTAAATAAATATTCTAAATATCTAAGGAAGAAGGATTACTTGATTTAAATTTAAATTATGTTTGTGAGAAATAAAATATATCAAATGAGATGTCATTGCGTAGATCTCGAAAAGTTATGTGGAATCAAAAAAAGAATTACCTAATTTGGATACTCGAGTCAAAAGTTATGGCCTTTAGAAGTTTTATGATTAAATTAATTTTTTTTTTTAGAAAAAAAAATGACACGTGTCAACACCTCATGAGAGACGCCCCATTTGGGCGTCTTCCCCTTAGGATGAGACGCCTCAATGGGGTGTCACATGTGACGCCCAAAAGAGGCATCACAGTGTGCAATAGATCTGTAATTTTTCTCAAAACTGCAATAAATACATAATTATTTAATTAAAAAATATTATTTTAATTTTTTTGCCCAAGCTTATGAGGAAAATAGAGTCGGTGCCATCTAAGTATGTTTTCTCACGTTGGAGGAAAGATATGAAGCAGAGGCACAAATTAACTCAAAAGTAGTTAGGGTGATTTAATTGCTAATCCTGAAGCAGAAAGACTTGATAAGATGTGCAAAGCTTTTCATGAATTTGCTTGAATGGGGTAAATACTGATTTATTTTTTTTGGAAATATTTAAGCTTTAGAGTTGAATTGGTTCTCTACATGGTATCAGAGTCTCGGTGTACCGGATTCGATCCTCGCCGCCTCCTACTTTCTTTCTTGTGGAACTTCTTTCTTCGCATAGGTAGGTAGGCCTATGCATTGTCAACTCTTCAAACCCATTGACCTCTTGTGTGAGGGGGCGTGTTGAGATATATAAAATCATTAATTTAACCTCACCCAATAACTTAAACTTTTGCGTTGAATTGGTTCTCTACACATCGGTCCATCGCTTCGCAACTAGTCCGATTCGGGGCGAGTCCAAGATTAAGGCTTTAAACCCCTCCCAAAAGTGATACTAGAAAGGATCGAACACATATTCTCATCCCCACCTGCTCAGCTCCCATCCTCCAACTTAGCTACTACCATTTGATGGCAAATACTGATGTTGATTTCAGGAAATTTATGAAATGGATGGATGACTTAAAAGTTAAGTTGTAAAAAGTCCTCTTCTGGAATAACTGAAACACTGCCTATTGCATCAAATATGTCAATGATTTCTGCTAATGATACTGCTAGAATTTTTAAAGAATGAAGGGCTTGATCCTATATTGCTACATGTATTAATACTTTCATCAAAGTATCTCAGTGATCCTATATGTCATACGCTATATTTATCACATGCATTTTTGGTGTGCACAAATCCAATACGAAGAATCAACCACTGCTTCACAAGATGGACAATTGTTCACTCAAAATGGTCAAACATTACATATTTAATTCCTGAATCCTTGCTCCCCCTGCTTTATATTTCATGAAGTTAAAATTATGGAATAATGTTGAACCCAAACCTAATTAATTATACATTCTTCCTCCCGAGGACAGTTCTTTTTCCGAATTAAAGAGTGAAATGCCATCATCATCTTGTAGTCGGTGCTGCTGATAAAAAAAGACAAAGAAGACCATTTTTCTGTTGGGGTTAGGGGGCAGAAGGAACCAACCTCAACGGAGAAATATTTTTCTTTTACAATTTTTTTTCTTTTTTCTTTTGGGTGCTATTTTAGCAATGAAGTGTTTTTAATATGTTGGTTCGATATCTATAAACGAATGTTAAATGCTAATGCCAAATGCCAAAAGTTAAGGAGAAAATTTTATGATCTATTTAAGATTTATTAGGTCTCACTCATTAATTAATTTTTAATTCCCAATAAATCTCAATCATTGGATGCACGAAAATCAACGGTTAAGATTTGGTGTAAGATTTATTATTCTTACACCGGTGTAAGTTGATCATATCCCATATATATATATATATATATATATATATATATATATATATATATATATATATTGTTGCATTATATTTTTGAAAGTACCACAGAGTACAGTCAATCTGTCACTGGAGACTTGTGTCTCAGTTCGTCCTGTTCGGCTCCAAGCCTCCAACTTAGACAAAGTTATTCAAGATTTTTTATTGAGTTCATAAATATCTGCACATGAAATTCTCAAACTTTGTGCCAGTTAACAAAGTATTAAGTATGGTTTGCAGGTCCCTTGTTGGCCATATTTTATAACCAAGGAAGTGATCTGCCTATAACAGAAGTCTTGCAGTATGGCTGAACATGAGTTGGAGCAAGTAAAGCATCCAGTATATATCAACTTATGTTAATGCATTCTATTCTATTCCTATAACTAAAGCATCCAGCTTATCATTGTCACAAATTCTTGAGGATAACCTAGGAAAACATTCTTCTAAAGTGAGTTTCCCTCTATAGTGAGCAAGTAAGAGTATATCTAATTTTAGTGGATTATGATCATGATGTACTTTCAATTAAATCAATGATGGATAAATCTTTACTTGATGACGTTCACTTTAGAGGAGCTTTATCCAAATAACCACTCCTGCAAATTTTCTTAACTGGCCAGCACTAAGTCAATTGTGAGAAGAGTACATATTACTTCCAATGTTCTGCTTCTAATGATAGAAGCACAAGAAGTTAGCAATAACAGATGCAATAGCAGCCAAAAACTGTTGTTGCTGTTGTATTGAAATCTGCCTTTCTATCCTATGAAAACTGCATTTCTTTGAACCCAGTTAAGTTTTCTTCAACAAATCACAACAGAAAGAACAATATCATTTTAAACTCCTTGTATGCACAGTGCCTGCAGCCCCACAGAGACATTTTCTTGACAGAGATTTGTTTTTTATTGCTAAGAATCTCTGACACAGATACATTAGCTGATCTACCCACAGTTATTGTTAATGTTAATGTCTCCAACTCACCGAAATCACAGGAGTTGTACTTTCCAATTGTATTTATAGCAAAACACTGAGTCTACTGAAATTTGGTTAAGACAGATTCAGATAGAATAACTGTTACCACTTAATCCTAACAACCTAATTCAAATTATCACCATAAGTCTTGACAAGAACAATTTCCATTTCTGAAGTGATGAAACCTCAAGGAGTCTCTGACAATGATCGTTACACCAACAACCTTAGCCATATACTTAATGGCATTGTGACAGTCACCACAGATTCTCAAATTCTTAAAAACCCTTATAGATGATTGTCCACTCAAATTAAGTATCCCAAAGGCAACAGCAAGCTTCTCACTGTGGTTGCAAAGACTCTCAGCTTTTTCCTCTTGATCAACATCTTGCAGAACATAATCAGTGTCAGGCTTATATCCAGCCAATTTCATTTTCTCACCCAACTCATCTAAAAAGTTATAGATTTTATCACTCTCCTTGTTACTTTTGTCTCCAACAACAAAAGTGTGAACTCTATTTCCCACTTGAAGCCAACTACAGCCTGGAGTTTTTGTGATTCCTCTCCCTTTCATCAATATTCTGGTTTCTGAAGCTTCGCTCCACAATTTGGCAGTGACAAGTATGTTGAATAATGAAACATAATTTCCGGGGTTGTTGGGCTCAATCTCAAATAGTTTCTTGGCTGAAATTTTTGCCAACTCCACATTCTTATAAACTCTACAGGCACCAAGAAGTGCTCCCCAAGCACTAGCAGTTGGTCCCATAGGCATTCTCTGTATAAACTCATATGCCTCATCAAGGCGACCGACACGGCTAAAGACATCAACCATACATGAATAGTGATTAGCATCAGGTCCTACTAGATAATCCCTACTCATTGAATTGAAGATCTGAAGTCCTTCCTCTATAAGCCTTGAGTGGCTACAACCAGACAGAACACCAATAAAAGTAACGGAATTGGGCTTGACCCCTGACTGTAGCATGTTCTCAAACAGCAAAAGCACTTCTTTTCCATTCCCGTGCATTGCGTTTGCAATGATCATCGTGTTCCAAGCAAAAACATCCTTTCTGGGCATCATACTAAAGACATTCCTTGAAAGATTCAAGTCACCACATTTAGCATACATATATACTAGAGCTGTTGTGCTTGTTAAGTCCCCAATTAACCAATGCCTAAAGACATAGCAGTGTACCTCCTTGCCCATCCTCAAGCTTTCTAAAATAGAGCAAGCTGGTAAGATACTACTAATTGTTATCTGATTAGGTTTAAATCCCATATATTGCATCTTCCTAAGCATCTCCAATGCATCCTCTGTTTGCCCATTTTGCATGGATCCACCAATAACAGCATTCCATGTAGCTTCATCTGCTTTGACTCCTTCTTTGCTCATCTGGGAAAACAGGGCAAGACCCTTCGCATATTCTTTGTTTGTGAAGTATGCTGTTAAAACTCCATTCCAAGATACAACATCTCGATGTGGCATCAAATCAAATACTATTCGAGCATGTTTTACACTTAGACACCTTGCATACATGCTTACAAGTGCACTGCAAACAAACACATTTTCTACCATCTCATGTCTCAAAGCAAATCCATGAATTGCTTTTCCAGAGTTTAAATCTTTCAATTCTGAGCACGCGGGTAAAATGCTAGACACAGTCACCGAATTTGGTCTCACCCCATTCCAAATCATTTTGCGAAGAACAGCCAGGCTTTGCCTAGGCAATCCACAATTAACATAGCATGAGGACAACGAGGTCCAAGAAACCACATCTTTCACAACCAAATCATTAAAAACACGCCTTGCGCCCTCGAGACATTTACATTTACCATAGGCATGAATCAATGCATTGCCCAAGAAAACATCTGACATCATTCCACATCGAATTGCATCATCATGAACCTCCTTGGCTCTCAAGGCATCACCAGAGGCAGCACAAGCCTTGGCAACTGCCAAAAACACCATCTTGTGGGGTTTGATGCCCCGTGCCCGCAGTGAAGCATAGATCTTTATAGCTTCATTTGGAAGTCCACGAATGGTGAAAGCTGAAATCAATGTGGAACAAGTGGTCGGATCTGGTTGAGGAATATTATCAAACAGTTGGTGGGCACGCATAAAATTGCCCACATTTAAGGCTGCTTTAACGAGCTTGAGACCCAGGTGAGAGGGAATGTTGGTGGGCAGAGAGGGAGCCACCTTTGCTTCAGTGATGGAGGAAACTGCTGAAGAGAAAGTGTAAGAGTTAAAGTGAGAATGAGGAAGACGAAGAAACGTGGCAGTGTGGCACAGCCAAATTCACAAGAATTCGGATCCATTTTGTAGTCTGATTCGGCCCCCGGGTCGGGTAAATCAGAAATAATCATATTTGTTCCGTAATCATTATCAGAAAAGATTCATGTAATTCAATAGAAAATTTAAAAAATAGGATTAATGCTTATGCAATGGGAGGTAAAATTATCTCCATTAATTTTATAATGATATCATTTTGGGATTTAAGAGAAAAAAAAAATATTTTAGTAAAATTCATGATATAAGATGAAAGTAAAATTTCCAAAAGAAACTCTATATTTCTTCGAAAACAACGTCGTTTTAAAATTACAATATATAATTTTATCTCTTGTTGGTTGTTGTATATATATATATATATATATATATATATATATATATATATATATATATGAGAAAAATATTTCTTCTTGCAACACGAGATTAAGTTATCCCCTGTGGCACAGAACAACATTATTTTGAGGTTTAAAAAAAAGCGTATTTAAAATTTTTATGTTTTTTTCATATTATAAATTTTATTGAAAATTCTGTATTATTTTTTCAAATTTAAAATGAGATTTTTTTGAGATTACAAGAGATAACTTAATCGCGAAAGAAACCCCTCTTTATATATATATATATATATATTATTTATTTAACATAATAAAATTAGGAATACATAGCACTACAAGAATACTAATGGGTTGTGATTCCAATTAATAGTGATTAAAATCAATTTTAACAATTAGATGTATATCATAGAATATATGCAAAGTATGTGAATTGAAATCAAGTCAAGATTGTAAAAATTCTTAATTTATTTATAAATTAAATCATTTTTGAAATATATTTGCTTTCCAAAAGTACTCAAAAAAATATGAAAATAAATTTTATAATAAAAATTAAAAATGACAGTGTGCTCTTTAATCTTTGAAAAGCAATCACAATATACATCGGGTCCTATTTTGTCATTTCTAACTAATAATGGGGACATAATCCCAAGAGACAAACAAACGATTTCCAAATGAAACATGCAAATTGTAACATCCCCGTCTTGAGCCGGTTCAATTAACATACATATGATACAAACAGAAACAGCGAAAGACTTAACTTACGAAAATATGAGCTAACTTTTTCTTTTTCTTTAATCCTTTTTCACATGACATATCATATTGCATACTTCTTCTAATTTAATTCTTATTTGACGGAGACGAAAAATCGGACAGAGTAACCTCTGTAAATCGGACAACTGGGGATTTACAAATCTCACTCTCAAGGTATCCTGATAGACAATTTATACAGTATATACTTTCAAACATACTAGATATCCATATAGGATCATATACACATCCATGGGCGCATGCATAACTTGGCTCCGTGCCACCGATGAACCATTATGACTAAGATGTTGTTGAAGACAGTGGGTGAAAAATCACTGATAGATTTGAATTCGTGTGACTAAGATGTTATAATTAATCCTGCAATCAAAGTAATAAAATTGTAAAAAAACAAACTCACAGGATAGAAGAATCAGATGTCAGTATGTAGGGAAGTCTGAGCCCAATTATGTTGTCTCCTTAAGACAATTTGTTCTCTTTATTGATGTCGAAGGTTGATGAACAATTGCTTCCCAGGATAGAACGAATTGCACGTCTCCAGAATGATGACATATCAATCAAGAGCCCCAACGAACACAACCAAATGTTTGAGAGAAATCGCACTTATGGACAAAATGGACTAACTGCGGATGCATGGCAAAAAAAAACGGTGCTTATTCTGATGGGTTTGTGATGTATATATAAACACCGATAGGGCATGATGAACTGTCGTCGACGAACCGGTGAAGCGCTGCCGACGAACCTTTACGACCGGTGGCAGCGAACCTGTTAAAATAACCGAACGCACCGTCTCGATTCAAAACGGCAGGAAAGAACCGAATGGTTCAAAATGCCGGGAAGCAACGGATAGGATCGGGGCATTTAGGACAAAAAATTAATAAAAAATTATTTAATAAAAAAATTTTATTTCTCTCACTCACGCGCGATTGAACTGAACCGAGTTTAGCTAAGCCGGATGGCGGCAGCGGCGCTGCACGTGTGTGGTGGACTAAGACACACATGAGTCCTCTCTCCTCCACAAAAGTGGAGTGTACCTAAGGGGCAAACAAAAGAGACCTTGTGGAAGTTTATTCACTCTTCCACCTATCATTACTTGTCCAATGTGGGACTTCTGTCCACACCTCTTTCACATTCCCTCTTTATCTTCTTCCTCAACCCACTTCTTATTCATAACTCATGAGATTTAAACACAAATCCAACAATCCCCCACATGGATAAAAAGACAATTCATCGTGACGAAATGCAAATGAACATGAATGCAAATTGCGATTCCTCAGCGAGAAATAATTGCATCGAGATAGGAAGGGGTTGTTGGTCCCGGATAAACTCAAGAGGGGGGTGAATTAAGTTTATTAAAAATTTTACAATTTAAAAACACACGCAACTGCGATAAAATAAAGTGTAAAGGAATGAAGGGACACGATTATTCAACATGGAAAAAACTCCAACTTGAGGGGGGGAAAACCCACGACCGTAATTTGGATAGCTCTATCCAATTGAGAGACAAATTCACTATTGATCAATTCAAAGTACAAGAACAGACCATATTCTACCATTTTACAAGAATTACCCTGAAACTTTACCCAAGGTTTCCGAAATCCTACCCGTAGGATTCTCACGGAGTCTAATCAAAGACTCTCTGAAGCCAAACGGCTCCCGTCTTTATTTGCAACAAATAAAGACCGACTTATTTCTAAGCCATGACCTTTTCTGAGGTCAAGAAGAATAGAGTATAATCAAAGACTCTCGAAGCCAAACGACTCCCATATTTATTCGCAATAAACAAAAACTGACTTATTTCTAAGCCATGGCCTTTTCCAAGGTCAAGAAGAAAATCCAATTAAAATTGGTTAACTCACACGCTTCTAAATAATAAGCAAATAGGTACAAATAAAACTTAAGTGGTGAACTCAATGAATCTACTCATGTCTTGATTCCCAAATTAGTTTGAATGCGCCTTAAGAAGAAATACTTATAATATGCTCAATGCGCTCTTTCTTTTGAATGGTAAAAAAAAAATTCTTGAATGCTCATTAACACTTTAGAGAAAAGCTCCAAGTATGGTATTTATAGATTTTTTCTCAAAATAAATCTTAAGGAAAAATCTAAAGATTATCATTATTTTTAAGAAAACTTTACAAAATATCTTTTTGAAAATAAAATCAAAATCTTCAATTTAACTTTTCAAAAATAGATAAAATCAAATCAAATCTTTTAAAAAGAAAATTAATCTTAGATTAACTTTTTCTTTTTCAAATCAAAAATCAAATCGTAAAAATCTATTTGGATTAAAAATAAAATTTTAAATCTTCTTTCCTTAATTTCACCTATCTAAGGTTGCTAGGTGGTTCCCACAAACCAACAAAGCAAAAATACTCCATGATACAATTTCCAAACCAGAGTATGTCTCGGTTTAAACAGAACTGGGCATGATTCACTCACTAATAAATTTTCACCTTTTACTATGTTAAACTCCTCATCTAAACATCACATTACATCATCAAATTCTTCACAAAATCATCAATTTTTCATCATACAAATTGTGTCTAAATTACAAATTTTTCACCTTAAAATTTTATTGGTTTTTCCTTCACAAGACACCACTACAAGAAATAATTATCAAAGCCATATGGTCATCCACGGTCTCCAACTACCCAAACCAACATACGCATACACATAGGGCATGAATTTTATGATCTCATTAAAAACTCGATGAAATTGAAAATACTTATCACAAAACAACTCCTTAAGTCCAAACAAGAAATATACAAGCTCCTAAGCAAACCAATCTACCTCCAATGACCTCTCCAAGCTGAAAATTGTCCCACTATGAGAGGAGATGATCTCTTCATACATTCACACCCAAACCAAACTTAAAACATGAAAGGTACTCACAAGATAATGGCGAACAAGTTTGTAGTTCAAGGTTTCTCCTAAAAATGTCTCTAACTCAAAATATGAAATTTATGCACTTCTTTTTGGCCTCCAACAGTGGGACCATGAAATTTACAGCCAAAAGGGAGGAAGGGGAGCATATTTTTTAGAGAGAAAGTGGAATTCAAATGACTTAAGTGACATAGATTGCCACATAAGCATATATAGGACGAAATACCACTTAAACCACTCATTTAACCCACTAATCACCAATTAATCCATGAATCATCCATTTAATAAAAATTTAACATTCATCAAAGTCCCTTAATTACACTTTAAGAGATGAATCCAGAGTTTCACGGTAATTTGGTGAAATTACAATTTTATCCATAGTTGTGCATCGACGACACTTTTTCCCAAAAATCATCAAAATTCACCCATTTTACTAATCATTTTTCTTAACTCTAAATACCTCTTTCAACTTATATCCAAATCCTAGGTCAGAAATCTCGTTTCTGGTTTATCCAGTGGAATTTACACCGCAGTATTTTATCCGGTAAAAATCATTATTTATCAATTTTTCCAGAAATTTGCCTATACACTACAAATTTCGTTATGAATCTATTTCTAGTAATTTTACCATTTCACATATCAAGGTTACATATTTGTCAATTTATCGTTTTACCCTTCGAGTGTATTTTGACCTAACATTCAGGGTTTTCACTTAACACACTATCTAGCCCACAATTTAATTATTAATATGCATTTCAAATATGTGAAATGTTATAGTTTCAGCCTATAGGAGCTTTCAAATCTCTCATTCCTTGATTGTAGGGAGTTCTATGGTAAGTAAACTCACCTCTTTTCATGTTTTCAGGGTGATTTAAGGAAGTTGGATTTTTGGAAGAATAGTATTGCGAAAATTCATGATGTTTAATGGATTTTGATGGTTGTTGATGATGTAGAGTTGAGCAAAGTGTCTCATTGATTGAGGAGAATCCATTGGAAGCATCATTGGATTAGAAAACCTAGTTTATTGGTTCTAAGAACAAGGGTAAGTTGATGATTAAGTAGTAATATTGAGTTTATAGCTATTGACTTAATGTTTTATGTGTTGTTTGAGTTGTTGATCACATTTTCACCTTGCCATAGGTTGCACTAGTGTGGAAGTGGTGATTGTGTTCATTTTCATATAAATAAAGCAGAAAAATAGAAGTCTACAAAAGGGTAAACTTCTGGACATTAGGGTTAATCCTTCTGTGTGTATGCATTATGAGATGATGATGATGTTATGCTTTGTATGTATGAGATGTATCTTTGGCTAGTAGATTTATGTATGTTTGCAGTCACTTTCCTTGAAACCCGACAGGGATTTCCTTGGGGTTATGTACCTAAGAGTCGAAGGAATTTCTTGAAAGTGTACTACATGTATGGATTTTCCTTGGTGTGAGCCCTTGAGGAACTCCTTAGGGATTTGATGCCTAAGAGACAAAGGTTTCTCTTGAGAGGACCATACTATAGGGACTTCCCTTAGAGTCAGCCCTACGAGGACCTCCTTGAGATCAAACATCTAAGAGACAAAAGGGTTCTCTTAGAAGTTTCCTTTGAGTTGAGAAGATATGATGTATATATGCTATGATTATTTTACTATAATGCACAATGGTGGAGTGATTCTCCAAAAATCCTTAGTTTACTGAGATGTTTATCTCACTCCGTGTTAGAGATATCATTTCAAGTACCAACAATGATGATGTTGGAGCATCACATGGTAAGAGGCTAGATGTAGCATGATTGTCTAGCATATTATGCCCGATTACTGTTTTGATGTATATGTAATCAAATTTTGAGGATAGTTCCTGATATGATGAGATGATAGTTTAGTTTACACATTTTGTATAAGCCTTCTAGTACATTTAATTGAAATCATGTATAGGGCTTGTATCTCCAATGAAGTATATGTATTTTGGACAATGTGAATGTGTAATGAAGTAAAGAAAGATGATGTTGTACATTATTTAGTGCAAGAGATGTAAACGTATGTTTATACTTGGGACTCAAGTTACACAAATGAGATCTTATGCCAATGAGGGCTAGGTAACTTAATGAGAATGAGACATGAATGTAAGAAATGATATATTACCATAAGAAATGTGTAAGTAAAGATGAATGTCTAAGTTTGAAACATTAACATGATAATGTTCTCTCTTAGAATATGATGCCTAAGACGATGGCAAAGATAATGTATCCCTTGAGAGATTGTATAAGTGTTAATGCATGCATGAAAATTATGTTGACGAGTTAACTTGATGTGCAAGAAATGCATTAAGCCTTAGCTTGAGAAACAAGTAACATGCATAAGATGTTGGAGTCCATAGATTTGATGTGTATTAATATATGTCAATCATAGGAAGCATGTATTGGTCAATTAGGTACCAAGAGAAACCAAGAAATGGGAGTATGTCTTCCAAAGTTGGTAACAAGACACCAAGGGAACCATGTAAAGTATAGAGAAGCTCGCTAAATTGCTCACTACTGCGAGCAGTCCAGCGAGCAAATATAAGAGACAGGAAGTAGCCACTATCTGGGCAGTGAGTTGGTTAACGAGCAGGCTAGCGAGAAGAATCAGGGGATGGTAGTAGCTACTGCCCATAATTTAAATTACTCGCTAATCTTCTCGGTACAGCGAGCAGTGCAGTGAGGAAATACGATATGCTCGCTGACTTGCTCGTTGTAATGAGTAGCTTAGCGAGGAGGCATAATTGACAGCCCTTGTTACTGTCTAAAATATTAATTACTCGCTAACCACAACTCGCTTAAGCGAGGAGATCAGTGAGCAGGGTAAAATCAATGAATGTTAATGTTAAATAGTTTTAGGCCATGTTGGTTTATGGAGACTACATGGTAATGATTTACAAGCAATGTATAATACATTTGGGTAAAGTATGACGCTTTCAATTTATATGAGTTATGATTATAGTCTTTGAATTAATTGAAGGGAAAAGTTCACCAATGCCCCTCTAGTTTACTCCAAAACCACTTACGCCCTGTGGTTTTTTTCTTATCACATATGCCCCTGTGGTTTGTAAAAGGATATATTTTTTATCACATATGTCCCTGTGGTTTCTTAGTTTTTACAAAGCACAGGGACATATGTGATCGAAAAAAGACAACAGGAACATAAGTGATTCTGGAGTAAACCATAGTGGCATTGGTAAACTTTTCCCTTAATTGAATATGGAAAGAGTTTAACAATAGAAAGCAAAAAAGAAAAAGTTTATCCATTATTTAATTCAACTACTGTGATTATAACTGCCCTTAGTGCCATATACAATACTAACAAACTAGTCATGAATAGGGTGTTACAGTCGACCTTTCTATGTTAGGCACAATTACATTATAATACAGAGTCCACTCTACTAGAGGGATGTCCCCTTTTCAGGCTCTCTATGGTAAACCCCGATTAATGATTCCACACTATCTGAGAGGCCTGGTACCAGTAGAAGCCTTGGATACCATGTTAACTCGTCAATGAAATTTTAGCTGACTTAAAGAAGAATCTTGCAGCCGCTAGAAACCGCATGCAAGTTCAAGCAAATAAGCATCGCCAGGAGAAGACATTTAATGGGGGTGATATAGTATGGGTTAAGCTACAGCCACATCGTCAGATTTCAGTGGAGAGGAGAATAAATCACAAGTTAGCTAAGCGTTTTTTTTTTTTTTGCCCTTTTCCAGTGGTGGAAGTTATCAGCCCAGTAGCCCGTCGTCTTCAACTTCCCGATGGGTGTCACACTCAACCTACATTTCCTGTCTCAGTCCTCAAGCCTTTTAAAAGCTCCGTCCAGCAGAACCCCATGCCGATACCTACGTTGAGCATTGCTAATCGCCCAGTCCAACAACCGTTAGCAGTATTGGCCTCGCGAAGTATTCAGTGGACTCGGACAGTACCAGAGGATGCCTCGTGGGAACCAGTGGAGAATCTTCGGCGTGTGTACCTGCAGCTTGACCTTGGGGACAAGGTCCCTCTTAATGGGGGAGGAGTCGTTACGTGTAGACGCATAGGCCAGAGTGACTATAAAACTATACTGAAGTCTGAACACATGCTTTACAATGATTAGTTGCAATGTCTGTGCTGGGAAGCTGTTGATAGGATCTGTTTAGTTAGTAGTTCTGTTGTACTCTTGAGTAGTTAGTGGGGACGTTAGTTGTTGCTTTCATTGTAGACACGTGCCCTTCGTATGTAGGAGTAGCTTTTGTATATAAGGAAGGAGGTGTGGAGCAACTGTTCCTCACGTATGAATAATAATAAAAAGTTACTTTTCCTTTTCTCTCCGATAATTAGGGCCTTCCTAACTTCGAATTATAATTAGAGTTCGAATCTCTAGATTGATGCTGTTCAACAAGTCCGTACTCCATAGTTACAATTCTTTCATACTGCCATGATCTAATTAAGTCGTTTTCCACTCAAAACATTTTATTCTTACACTTTTTTTTCCTGGTTTTCTGTTTGCGCGAGCTAATAACATAACTTCAGCACTTAATGAGATCTATTGCATTTTATCTTTTTTGCACAACAAATATGATCATTTTTCTGCATGAGCGGATTGAAATAAAAGTTACAAAGAAACATCTCTTCTTTCATTAAACGAATATGAGACCATTTGCCTTCTGAGCACCATCTGAATTTCTTCCATTAAACTCCAATGACAGGACAAAGAATGAACATTTCCCTTCCGAGCAGCATCTGAAGCAAGAGAAGTACAAACTAGAATTCAAGCTACCCTTTGCCTCAATTTTTTATCCAAGCCCCTCCCTGGCGTTTAACATTTTTTTGCATACTAGAGACAATTGGAAGGACATTCAAAGACCAACACAGAAGCTTTTCATAGCTTAAGTGTGAAAAAGCTCGTAATGTCCATATTTTCCCAATCCTTTTCTCTCGTCCTAGTCACAGCAAGGAGAGAGGGAAAAAACAGCAGAAACAGCCATATGAAATGGCAAAAATTTTATGCTAACCAGAGGTATATGGAGGCTGGCTAGTTTCTTTTACAACAATACATAAAAGCTGTCTCTGCTACACCATTATGCAACACTTCTGACTGGAGCAAATCATTAAGCAATCAAGAAAATGACAAAAAGTCAACCAACTATACCCTGTATACACTCACTAATCCAAAAATCTTATGTACTGATACAGTTCAGTGATGATGTTCAATGACCTCGAAGAACCTCCATATAAATACGGAAGTAGTAAAAAGCTCAAGGCGCTGTGGTTGGCAGATACAAGGTGTTGAGAGCAATGTTACTCCATTGACAGAAAGAATTACATATCACATAACAAACTTAAAGTCTGCAGACACCACCTGAATTGCTGATTTCATTAGTTGCCTATACAGAGTAGCCAGCATTTTGCTATCTTCGCCAAGTCTACAAGGCCGGGGGTGAACATTGCAAATTCATCCCATTTTGAACTCATCAGTAGTGGTTTCCTAATTATAAATCTTTACTGGCTTCTCAAACGTGTGGCGGTTCTGGAAAAAAAAAACCATGTAAATTTGAATGGTGTAAACAATGCAAGTTTTTTAACCTCAAAACTAAAACCGTAGTATCAGTAGAGTGGACAAAAACAACCAAAAAAGACTGAAATGTACTTAAAAATCTTGCTCTCATCAGGAATTTACTAACCTGATTAACAGCATATGATCTTTTAGGAGCATTGTCAGTATGCTCCAGGCCAAGATATTGTTCCCAAGCACCATAAACATCTCTTCTCTATCATTAGATACCAAAAAAGTAGAATGTAAACACAAATTCAAAAATATGAAAATAGTGATAAATATCTATAAAAGAAAGTTTCCATGAATGCACCTGAAAACGACTGGATACAATGTCAGAGTCCTGAAGGTACTCAGGCCGCCCTAGTGAAAGAAAAGCAAACTTCCACTGGCCAAACAATAAATATAATAAAAACAGTTAGGTAAACTGAAACCAAATATACCAGTCAATTTTTGTTCAACGAAAAATCCATCAAGCAAACAAAATGACTCAAAAGCTGGAAATCTAAACGAGGAAATACCTTGCCAAACTCCTCGTCAGGAACTTGAAGTTTCTTCTGTATTCGTACTTTAATTTCGGATAGAGTTTCACCTTCGTGTATAACTAAGAAAAAAGGTTCCCCAAAGTTTTGAATTTGCTATACATTTAAGAGGGAAAACAAAAATACAAACGTTTGTCATACAATTGATGTAAGTAAGCATTAAATATCAAAGAAATCAAAATATTTAAAACTTCACAAAACCAAAATGAATCAATTAAAATTATTTACCAGTTGGTTCTGAGCTGTGTCTTTATTAAAATGGTACACATGAATAAGACGATCATGAGGACCAAGATTTTTTTCTTCTTCTGGAATCTGTAACATTTGAATATAACCAGGAAAGAGTTTCATTCATTTTGTGAGAGAAATTGAATGATTAAAAATAGTATTAATTATATATTTAGAAGAATAGTCTAGCACTGTTATTATTTGAACAAATAAAAGCAGGAATACTTCATACACTTACAGGGTGTTTGGTAGAGGTGAAATTTTTTTTTTACTAGGGAAATACAATTACTAGGTATATGGTGGGAAAGTGAGTTTGGTAAGAAGGTTAAAAAAAAGTTGTTTGGTAGGTCGAAATTTTACTGAGAAAATTTGGTTAAATTTGCTGAGTCTATGTTTGGTTAGAAGTAAAATATTGATGGGTAAATGGGTTAAAATTATGAAAGTGGACATTTTAATTTTTGAATCTAAAACAAAAAAATAACCCTCTTCGATATAGTATTGTTACTGGTTTATTTTCTCGAAATCGTACTGCTGAATGCTTTCCTTGTGAATACTTTTTGAATGCTTTCCCAGTAAAGGAGACAATACCACATGTGATGTGTTAAATTGTACATTGAAAAGGATGAAAATTTTCACACAAATTGAAATGGCTGGGGAAAGAAGATGACCAGTTAAATTTTTGGGACACCTCTACCAAACATAGTAAAGCTGAAAACCCATTCTGATTTGCATGGGTAATTAGGAGAAAAACTCCTACCAAACAGCCCCTAAAGGCTATCTCCCTTGTTTCTAGCCCACACATAAAAAGAGATTCCTACCTCCTCTGCTCGCAATGTCCAGTATTGATCATTAATGTTTTCAATCTTCTCATTGGGAGGGAAGACCTGTACAGACAGTGACAGGAAGTGATAAACAGATTTCAATAATAGAAATATGCTTTTGTTCAATAGTCAACAGCATAAGCAGCAACACAAGTAATTGGAGGATCATAATATGCTTTTATTGTTGTTTGTGACAACAATAAAAAATTGCAATAAATGCATGAACACATGTAATTTCATACCTTGTATATCTTGTGATAGAAGACTTCAAGCAACCGAAGCTCAGAATTAGGATGAGATAACTCCACCTGAGCAACAATAAGAAAAAGCGAGCATGATAAAGGAGTATATAATAATTTTATGCGAAAAATTATTAATGGAGGAAAAGTTGGCAACTTTATCACGAAAGTTTGGTGTTTACTCAACATTGCAGTCACAACTGCTTGAAACAGGCAAAGATGTCTCTATCTGAGTTTTAAGTGGCACTGCTTTTATTTTTTCCTCATGACTTCAGATGAAACCATGTGTGCTAATTGTGTGTTGTGACCTATGACCATAGTGTTGTGCAAGTAACATTATTTTTTTATCAGCACATGCAATATAGGCTAGTTAATGACCCAAAGCTTAATAACTTCACCTTTGTTTTAAGATCATCAAGGACATCCCCAACAGTGCTCTGCTTTGGGAGTCTGATAGTATGAATAACCACCTGATTAAAAAATTTAAATAAATATAGCAAAGGGTTATGAGAAAAATCTAGATGAAAAGGGAAGAGAATCAAGTCACCATACTCACTTCATCCTTGGTGGCATGATGAAATGCAACTTTCAGAGTTTTCAAACCTTGTAATTCTGGAAGAGGAATGTCAAGTACTTCATAGTATAATATATCTGAGGTCTGACATTGAAGAAAGGAATAAGATGTATTGTTTTTCAAGAATAAATATTAAGAAGGATTTAACAATAACTACCTGATTGTAATGAACTAGCATATCAGACAAATGTTCCACCCCTCGGTACTTAATCGGCTGGGGTTTTGGTTGTTGAGAGTAACAGTTGTGCGGGGTAAGCCGTATTTTGGATGGATCATCCAAACCAAGTTGTTGGGCTACTCTCTCCACCACATCATCATATGTATAAAGCCTTGACCTAGAAAACAATACATAAAGAGTATAAGACTAAGGATGGAATGTTGAGCATTACATTAAATATGTTCTCTGGTAAAATAGTACAATAGTATAAACCATTAAAAAGGCCCTAACCCAAGAGCTTAAGCTTTGGGTTGAATTGGTTCTTTACATGGTATCAGAGCCTCCGTGTCACGGGTTCAATTCTCACCCCCCCCCCCCCCATTTAATAAATAATTAATCAAGT